AAAGATGGAAATAACCTAGGTGCCCATCAACAGACAAATGGATAAACAAATTATGGTATATTCGCATAATGGCATACTATGCAATGATAAAGAAGCATGATGAAGCCGTGAAACATCTTATAACATGGAGGAATCTGGAAGGCATTATGCTGAGTGAATTTAGTCAGTCCCAGAAGGACAAATACTGTATAAGATCACTATTATAAGAACTCAAGAAAAGATTTAAACAGAGAAGAAAACATTCTTCGATGGTTACAAGGGTGGGAAGGGAGGGAGAGGCGTATTCATTAACTAGATAGTAGACAACAATTAGGTGAAGGGCAGGACAACACACAGTACAGGGGAAGTCAGCACAACTGGACTAAACCAAAAGCTAAGAAGTTTCCTGAATACAACAAAACACTTCAAGGAACAGAGTAGCAGAGGCAGGGGTGTGAGGACCATGGTTTCAGGGGACATCTAGGTCAATTGGCATAACAAAGTTTATTAAGACAATGTTCTGCATCCCACTTTGGTTGGTGGTGTCTGGGGTCTTAAAAGATAGTGAGTGGCCATCTAAGATGCATCAATTGGTCCCAACCCACCTGGAGCAAAGGAGAACAAAGAACACCAAAGACACAAGGAAAATACTAGCCCAAGAGACAGAAAGGGCCACATAAACCAAAGACTCCATCAGCCTGAGACCAGAAGAACTCGATGGTGCCTGGCTACCCCCAATGACCACCCTGACAGGGAACACAACAGAGAGTCCCTGACGGAGCAGGAGAAAAGTGGGGTGCAGAACTAAAATTCTAGCAAAAAGACCAGACTTAATGGTTTGACACTGGAGGCACCCCGGAAGACATGGCCCCTGGACTCTCTGTTGGCCCAGAGCTGAAACCATTCCTGAGGCCAACTCTTCAGACAAAGATTAGACGGGACTATGGGACATAAAGTGATACTCAGGAGGAGTGTGCTTCTTAGCTCAAGTAGATACATGAGACTAAATGGGTGGCTCCTGTCCGGAGGCGAGATGAGAAGGCAGAGAGGGTCAGGAGCTGGTTGAATGGACAGGGAAAATCTGAGGTGGAAAGGAGGAGTGTGCTGACACAGTACAGGGAGAGCAACTAGGGCATAGCAATGTGTGTATAAACTGACCTGAATTGTAAACTTTCACTTCAAGCACAATTTAAAATAATAATAATAATAATTAAGCCAGGACACCAAGCTTAAATAAGCACAGTCCCAGGCAAAGATTATGTTCACTTTATCATAATTTATGATAAATGGAACCACCCCCTCATCAACAACCCCCCATATAGTCCTTCTAGATCACACCCCTCTCCCTCTACTCTGTATTTAGGCACTATTCTTTTATAGTAATCATTTCCCTTTTTAATTGCTATATTTTTAAATTTAGAAATTCCCTAACTATCCCAGGAGAGCAAGGACAAACCATGTAACAGTACAGGAGTCAAAGACCTAGTTCCAGTCTTGGTTCTAACACTTACTAGACTGTAACCCTGCTGTGCACATCATTTAAACATAGTCAGCCTCAGTTTTCTCTTCTACAAATTTAGAAAAATCAGCATTGTGAGGGAGGTGTAAAGGAGTTATTTTCAGTAAAGAAACAACTTAGGATATTTGGCATGGTTTATATCCACAAAAGCAGTGACTCTTCCTCACTACTGTGAGAAACCACCATTTTTAAAGGGTTGCATCAGCTTCATGGGCTCCTGCAGCCTTATTTAAAAGCAAAAATAAAAGTATGTTCTTCACAGAATTTCCTTAGTTAGATTCAGCTGAAAGGAATAATAAGGTTAATAAGAAAGAGAAAGAAGAACAGTTAATAAAAGATTAACTACTAGGCCTAGAAGCTACCCAAGGCCTTCTGCACCTGCTGTGCAAACCTTTCCTCCCTGGCATCCTGACATTTGAGGGCTTTGCTTCCAGAGGATGTTCATTCAATATTCACAAAGATAATTATGTGATGGAAGCTTGTCAACTCTGGCAACAGAGAATAAACTGTCCAGCCCGCCTGACCTAACACAATTAGGCTCTGAGTTATATGTCAAATTACCATAAGCATCTCCAGCACTCTTTGGTTCCCTCCTGTGTGCATTGCTGCAAAGTTCCACGTGCCCTTCTTGGCTACTGCTTGTAATGAATTAAATATAGAAGTCAGAGGCATAGATTAGGCGTAGACCTGCCATTATTTGATCTACAATGGAAAAAAACCTCACTTGTAACTTTGATGAAATTGTGCTAACTCTAGCCCTAAATCAGGAGACACAAACTCAAAGCTTAAAGGGGCCAATGAAGTTGGCTGGGTAGGAAGCTAGGGACAGTGACAAACTGTCCAAAGGGCCATGCCCTGCCTAAAGGGAAAGCCATTACTCAGTTCTGGACACCACAGCTGTGCAGAAGTGCAGGCCTAGTGTTGCCAGCATTTCCAGAAATTCATACTTTATGTGAATCTTCCAATTTATAAATGCAGGCAACTAATTAAAACAATTTTATAAATAGTGTGACCTCCACAGGATCTGGACCATACATCTGTTTCTAAACCTGGAAGAGAACCGAGTATACCAAGTTCAGCCCCCTCATTTACAGATGGGGAAAGTGAATCCCAAAGAGGACAAATGTAATTTATAGCAATAAATGCACACATCCAAAAGGAAGAAAGGGCCAAAATCAAAACATTAACCCTACAACTCAAACAAACAGACAGCAGCAAAAGAAGCCCTCAGGCACCAGAAGAAAGCAAATAATAAAAATTACAGCAGAATTAAATGAAATAGAAAATGATTGAAAGAGTTAACAAGACCAAGAGCTGGTTCTTTGAAAAGATCAACAAAATTGATAAACCACTGGCCAAAATGACAAAAGAAAAACAGGAGAGGAAGCAAATAACCTGAATAAGAAATGAGATGGGTGATATCACAACAGACCCAACTGAAATTAAAAGAATCGTAACAGAATACTATGAAAAATTGCACCCTGGCAAATTTGAAAACCTCTAGGAAATGGACAAATTTCTAGAAACACACTACCTACCTAAACTAACACAACAGAGGTAGAACAACTAAATAAACCTATAACAAAAGAAGAGATTGAAAAGGTAGTAAAAAAAACTCCAAACAAAAAAAAGCCCTGTGCCTGATGGTTTCACTGGAGAATTGTACCAAACCTTCAGAGTAGAGTTAACGCCACTACTACTAAAGGTATTTCAGAGCATAGAAAAGGATGGAATACTCCCAGACTCATTCTATGAAGCCAGCATAACCCTGTTACCAAAACTAGGTAAAGATACCACAAAAAAAATTACAGGCAATATCCCTCATGAACATAGTCGCAAAAATCCTCAACAAAATTCCAGCCAATAGAATTCAACAACATATCAAAAAAATAATTCCCCATGACCAAGTGGGATTCATACCAGGTATGCAGGGATGGTTCAACATTAGAAAAACAATCAGTGTAATCCATCACATAAATAAAACCAAAGAGGACAAATGATTTTCCTACGGACAAATAACTAGTTCGGCAGCCAAGTCACTCCAGAAAGATTACCTGTTTTCTGTCTCCTGCTTCACTCTTCATTCCTCCAATGAGAAGGTTAATGGCTTTAGGTCTAGTCAAAAAGTTAGCAGAACCAAGTATGGCTTGCACTGGGGCTGGAACGTCATCAATTTGCCATTCTTCTTTGTTAATGCCTCTGGCTTTTGAACAATGTATATGAGACAGTGTGGTATTATATGAGGCAATGGAGTGGTATTAGGGCAGGACATTTTTGTTCCCAATTGACTTTCCCCTCACCTGGAGCATAGCACGGCAGCATGGCCCTGCTACATGAAAGGAGGGGCTAGTGTGTTCCCATTGGGGAAGGGGATTGGTACCGTTGTCAGTCCAAGACAAGCAAGGCTCACACAGCAGGAGAAGATTAAGTACAAAACTTACATTCACATAACACTCCCATTAACCTCAGTGCGAACTGTGCTTACAGGAATCGCAGAATCAGCAGTTGAATAGAGACTGGAATGAAGCAGTAAAGCTCAAGCCATAAGTTATTATTAGGATTATACAATTCCAGCTTCACTTTTGCAAAAGAGTTCATTTTTAATGCAGTGAGACCTCCCTCTACTGACTCTTAGGGCAGGGTCTACAAAAGGACCCTTGTTAGGATCCAAATAGTGGTGCGGGGTTGAAGAAACTTGGCAGATCACAGAAGTTAGGACAGGTGCCAACAAAGTGTAGAAAACAGGCTCAGTTATTTTTCTCCTGTTGGCCCACAGGGCTCATAATATTGTTAGCAATCAGTGCCTAGGGCAGTGCCTGGCACATAGTAAGTACTTAATAAATATTTAGTGAATGAATGAAAGAAGGGATGGATAGGTTCACATTCCTTGCCAGATTAGTTAAATTTCCAACCTAATAAGGCAGGATTAGTAACTTTCTTGGCTGCTTCCTTGGAGCCATCCAAGGAAAGGCCAAGAATCAACCAAAGGAGCAGGTTCTGCTGCTGTCTTGGCACAGAGCCATGCCCTTTTCAGCTATGCATGGCTCAGGGTGGGGGGCACCTATTCAGGCTAGTGCAGGCCTCCCCCAGTAGGTAAATGGAAAGTCTCTGCAGGGTGCCATGATTTTTTAATGAATCCTTCTCCTATGATAATGAAGGACTGAAAATATTGCGTTTGATACAATAGTCAACTAAGAGAAAATCTGATCCTTAAATTCTTTAAGTCCAGTATCTTTTGAAAAAAGTTTGTGGCTAGTGAAGAATTAGGCCCATGTTTCTGTGACTCTGCTGTTAGTAAGAATAATGTTTAAATGTATAAAATGATTGGATAAGGTTAACAATTGTAGAATCTAGGTAGTACGTATGAGTATTAGTTCCTAGATGGCACAGTTAAGTGCTTCACTACTAACCAAAAGGTTAGCAGTTTGAACCCTCCCAGAGTACCTCAGAAGAAAGGCCTGGAGATCTACTTCTGAAAGCTTATAGCCTTGAAAACCCTATGGAGTGCAGTTCTACTCTGCAACACAAGGGGTCACCATAAGTTGGAATCTATTCGACAGCAATGATTTTGGTTTTGGTATATGAGTATTGGCTACAGTTCTTTAAAGTCTTCTGTATATTTGAAAATTATCATAGTAAAATGTTGGGGGGAACATTGCCTACTGTCAAAAGAGCTACAGGTAGCTTCCTTAAACTCTGCTCTGGCAGCAAAAGAAGCATTGGTCTTCAGCCGGTCCCGACATTACATACTGGCTGCAACCATATAACCACTGCCGTCAAGTCAATTCTGATTCATAGCGACCCTGTAGGACAGGGTAGAACTGTCCCATAGAGTTTCCAAGGCTGTAATCTTTACAGAAGCAGACTGCCACATCTTTCTCCCACGGAGTGGCTGGTGGGTTCAAACCACTGACCTTTCAGTTAGCAGCCAAGCACTTAACCACCATGCCACCAGGGCTCCTTAGCAACCGTATAGATCTAAACTAATGATCTAAACCATGTGCCAGGCACGCTTTCAAAGAACTTCATACAAATGAGGAAGCAAAGGCACAGTAATGTTGAATAATTTTCTCAAGGCCAAAATGCTTGGCACAGTTGAGGGGAAAAAAAACTATGAAGTTTAGCATCCGGATTTTTGCTCTTCAGCGTCATTCCATACTGCCTCTCAGACTTAAAGGAGAATACTCTCATCTAAGGGTTTGTACATTCCTGATTTTCCATTTCACCTATTCTGAACATTTATATAACCGTGTATAGCATTTTCCTGACAAAACATATCTGCTTTAATTTTATATTACCTAATACAAATTTTTATAGCTTCTAGGTTAAATATGACTCTTAAAATGTATACTTCAGTTGGGAAATCATGCATAAAGTATGTTATTCTTAGGAAAAGAACAATGTGAATTTCCATATTCCAGCCCAGTCTCATAACTCTGCATCTTTTTGGGGAAGTGAAAGTTCAGAATGACAAGTGAAAGGCCAATGCCTCCTCCTCCTGTTTAGAAAAGCCTAGTAAAGCAAATAACCAGAAAACCCTCTGTCCCCTGGTAGGAGGCCTGGCTGCATAGTGGCAAGCGCTCGGCTGCAAACCAAAAGATCGGCCGTTTGAACCCACCAGTCGCTCCTCACGAGAAAGATGTGGCAGTCTGTTTGCATAAGATTACAGCCTTGGAAACCCTTTGGGGCAGTTCTACTGTCCTGTAGAGTTGCTATGAGTCAGAACTGACTAGACAGCAATGGGTCTCTTTCCTAGTAGGGCCATCTTGGGCTCTTGGATAGTGAAGTATGCTTAATCCCAATTGTACCATTCTAACTAATGCTGTCACTAACATAGGATATGCTGGGTAAATAGATATTGAACTCTAGAACTAAGAAAGCACTGTTTAGAATCAAGGTCACAGAGATGAAAAGGGCTTAAAAAATATCACCTAGTCCTTTCCTGTCTGTAGTAGTAAGTCAGGGTCTACAGCTGAACCCACTCAGAAATCAGAGAATTTCTCCATTTTTTAACAACTTTCTTTAAAAAGAGGAGTCTGTCCTATAGAATCCATTCCAGTGTTTTACAAGGCCTAAAAATTATCTTTCCTCTAATCAAAATCCCACAGGCTTGCCTGCTTCCCCTTGTTCCTTTTGCACTGAGTTCAGAACTGGTTCACAAGTTCTTATTAAAACCTTTCGAGGCTTGAAGCCTGATATTGAAAAACTAGTGTCCCCCCACAAGATCCTCAAGTACAACTGGACTTGAATTTATTTACTCATCCTTGAACCTTTCCTCGGTGTTCTTAATGTCTAGTTAATTTAATCGTCCTTAAAATATTCCTCTATCTTCAACTATGGAACCTCGAACTGAGTCTAACACTTTCCTAAGAGTTTAACCAGGATCTTTTGTAAAGAAAAAGAAAACCCACCATTTTTATATCTCCTAGCTCTCCTTTAAAAAATTATCAAATTCTCTTCCTGATCCAGTTGGAATTTACTATAGATGGTCACTATTTCCAGTTATAAGTGTGAACTGAGGTCAAGGAAATTTATTACTCATTGGTTTTCTTCATTCAGTTGCAAAATAAATAAATAAATAAAAGCTTGGTTTAAAAGACCAGTTGCACACCTACTCATTTGATTTGGCAATCTTTTACCATGTTTAGCATTATTTTAGTAGGAACTTTGTTTAATGAGACAACGTGGCAACAAATCCAAAATGTACTATGCAGGTCAAAAGGAAGATTATTTTTTCTGAGACCCTCTGCCAGCTTTTAATTTCTAAAGCCTTTCTTGCCATTGACCAGGTGTTAAGTCTGCCTCTCAGTTCAACTTCTGACCACTAAGTGGCACCAGATCTTTGAATTAGTTACAAAATAGAAAAACTCTGCTCAACCAGTCTTTATTTTGGTGATTTGCTGTTGTTGTTAGGTGCCGTCTAGTTGGTTCCAACTCATAGCGACCCTACAGGACAAAGCAGAACTGCTCCATAGGGTTTCCAAGAAGCAGCTGGTGGATTTGAACTACAGGCCTTTTGGTTAGCAGCCATCCCTCTTTTAGCAGCCATCACTCTTAACCACTGTGCCACCAGAGCTCCCAGGTGATTTGCTGTGAATTTGCTTTAATTAATACCTTCTACACAATCCACTTGTCCTTATCAGTCATCAAGAATATGGTGCCTTCTTGCCATTGTTTCTTATGGTCTGTGCTTTGAGAAAAAGCAGGTTAACAAAACATGCAACTCATTTATTCAGCTTCCGGCCCACGACTGGTTATGTCTTCCAGGCAGCCGTAGGTTTAGCAGCTTTTCCTTGTGTCACAGCAGCCTCCAGCAATACCAGGGGGACATCTGGACTTGGTATCGTGAGACTCTTCTGCAAGCTTGAAAGGATCTGTGATGATAGCCTGTCAAAAGGCAAACCCAAATGAGAAATTAAAGGTGTTCTGATGTACCCAAACACTAATATCATAGTCCCACTGCCATCAAGTCGATTCCAACTCACAGAGACCCTATAGGACAGAGTAGAACTGCCCTATAGGGTTCCAAAGCTGTAAATCTTTACAGAAGCGGACTGCCACATCTTTCTCCCATGCAGCAGTGGTTAGGTTCAAACTGCCAACCTTTTTGATTAGCAGCCAAGCACTTTAACCACTGCACCACCAGGGCTCCTTTTCCTTTACCTAACTAAAACCAAACCAAACCAGTTGCCGTCGAGTTGATTCCGACTCATAGCGACCCTATAGGACAGAGGAGAACTGCCCCAGAGAGTTTCCAAGGAGCGCCTGGTGGATTTGAACTGCCAACCTTTTGGTTAGCAGCTATAGCACTTAACCACTATGCCACCAGGGTTTCCTTCCTCTACCTAGGAGGAAGATAATCTTTTTACAGGTCCATGGGGTCCTGGGAGGAGCATCAGTCATTCTTCTATAAAGGCAGCCCTCTCTTCCTGAAGCTTCCAATCAAATTATTACTACTTTCAAGGCAAACTCCACTTAAAGCTTCTTAAAGGTAGTCCCAATTGGACCAGAAGAGTTGATTTTGCTCATCTGACTTTGTTTTGTTCTATGAGATTCTCATTTGTATGTGCCATTTAGTTCTTTGGAACTGACATACTTAAATGCTGAAACTTCTTCTCTTCCCTCATTCTAATCCTCAGAACATGTGCACAAGACAAGAAAGTAAGTCCCAGATACCAGGCATCATTAGTAATTGCTGATGTTCAGATGTTGAGATTGCCAATAATAACGGCCAGCCAGATCTTAGGACAGAGTATGGGGAATTTTCAAAAAACAAGATGATAAAGTCTTTATTTCTCCTTCTTTCACCCCCAATGAGATACCTCCAGCAGCAGCACCAATGAGGCCAAAGAAAAAACAGGCACAAAAGTAGGAAATCAAGAGTATGAACAAGACACTTTAAATAATGGTAATGAAGTCACACAACATAAATTTACACTCTTACTAGTTATTGCTGGTCACTGCAGACAGAGAGGTATATAAGACAAGACAGTCACAGACCCTACATTCATGAAACTGACAGTCTTATGGACGGACTCAGGCACAGACCCTACATTCATGAAACTGACAGTCTTATGGACTAGTCCCTTTACTGAAGTAATTTACTGTAGGCCTTAGCTTCTCTGGCCCTCAGTTTTCACCCTTTCTAAAATGAAGAGGCAAACCAGCATCTGGCAGATCTCCAAGCCTGGAAAAGGGTTATGCTGGTTGCCACTACCAGGCCTTCATCCACTGTATTTCTTCTCAGGTTGGCGGTTCCAACCTACCAGCCACTCCGTGGGAGAAAGATGTGGCAGTCTGCTTCTATAAAGATTACAGCCTTGGAAACCCTATGGAGCAGATCTATTCTGTCCTATAGGGTGGCTATGAGTCAGAATCAATTTGACAGCAATGGGTTTAGTTCACTGGAATTCCTGGTGGGAAGAGTTAGTCTCTTCTCTTATTATCCAGGGAAAATTTTCACATCCTTCTTCTCACCACTCCCTTTCCCATCTACCAATAGGAGACAGTGGTATCCACACCACTTCTAAGTGCATGCTACCAGTCCTAAAAGATCTAAAGGCTTGAAGAAAAAAAAAAAAAGTGGGGCACTTGGATGAGTGGTCCTGTCCAGCACTAACATTCTATGATTCTATGAAAAGTATAAATATGGAGAGGTAGTGCATAAGCAAATAATCCAAGAAGCTGAATTATATGAAGAAGAACATGGCATCAGGATTGGAGGAAGGCTCATTAACAACCTTCAATAAGCAGATGACACAGCCTTGCTTGCTGAAAGTGAAGAGGACTTGAAGCACTTACTGATGAAGATCAAAGACCACAGCCTTCACTATGGGTTACAACTAAACATAAAGAAAACAAAAATCCTCATAACTGGACCAATAAGCAATATCATGATAAACAGATAAAAGACTGAAGTTGTCAAGGATTTCATTTTACTTGGATCCATAATCAATGCCCATGGAAGCAGCAGTCGAGAAATCAAACGACATATTGCATCGGGCAAATCTGCTGCAAAAGACCTCTTTTAAGTGTTAAAAGGCAAAGATGTCACCTTGAGAACTAAGGTGCACCTGATCCAAGCCATGGTATTTTCAATCGCCACATATGCATGTGATAGCTGGACAATGAACAAGGAAGACCTAAGAAGAATTGATGTTTTTGAATTACGGTGTTGGTGAAGAATTTTGAATATACCATGGATTGCCAGAAGAAGGAACAAATCTGTCTTGGAAGAAGTACAGCCAGAATGCTCCTTAGAAGCGAGGATGGCAAGACTTCATCTCACGCACTTTGGACATGTTATCAGGAGGGACCAGACCGTGGAGAAGTACATTATGCTTGGTAAAGTAGAGGGTGAGTGAAAAAGAGGAAGACCCTCAACGAGATGGGTTGACACAGTGGCTGCAACAATGGGCTCAAACAGAGCAACGATTGTGAGGATGGCGCAGGATCGGGCAGTGTTTCGTTCTGTTGTACATAGGGTTGCTATGAGTCGGAACCAACTCGACAGCACCTAACAACAGTATCAACAGCAGTATAGTATACTGGTTAAGAGTGTCATCTCTAGAACCAGATGTGGGTTCAAATTCACTACTTCCTAGCTGTGTGACCTTTGATGAGTAAATTAACCTGAATTCAGTTACTTCATTTGTAAAATGAGGATTGTAAGAGTTGTTGTGAGGACTAAATGATATCATGCCTTGAATGTATTATCTGTTCAACAAAGGTGGTTGTTGTTAGCTGCTGCTGAGTCAGCCCCCTACTCATGGCAATTCCATGTACTATGGGATCAGACCGTTGTGATTCATAGGGTTTTCACTGGCTGATTTTCAGAAGTAGATTGCCAGGCCTTTCTTCCCAGTCTCCGTCAGTCTGGAAGCTCCCTAAAACCTGTTTAGCATCATAGCATTATCCAAGCCTCCACTGACAGATAGTGGTGGCTACGCATGAGGTGCATTGGCCAGGAATCGAACCTGGGTCTCCTGCATGGAAGGCAAAAATTCTACCAGTGAACCACCAGTGCCCCTCAATAAAGGTTAAACCCAAAAACCCATTGCCATTGAGTCGATTCTGACTCATAGCAACCCTATAGGACAAAGTAGAACTGCCCCATAGGGTTTCCAAAGAATGGCTGGTGGACTCAAACTTCTGACCTTTTGGTTACAGCCAAATGCTTAACCACTGCACCACCAGGGCTCCCAGTAAAGGTTAGCTTTTATTTGTTATTACTATTATTACTCATGTTATTACTACCACTACTATTAGTTGAAGCAAGACAGTACATAGCACAAATCCTATTATCTCAAATTCTGCAGTGTTTCAAAAATGCATTTTTTTAATTGTGCTTTAAGTGAAAGTTTACAGTTCAAGTCAGTTTCTCATACAAAAATTTATATACACATTGCCATGCAACCCTAGCTGCTCTCCCTATAATGTGACAGCACACTCTTCCTTTCCACCCTGGATTTCCCATGTCCATTCAGTCAGCTCCTGTCCCTTTTTGCCTTCTCATCTCATCTCCAGATAGGAGCTGCCCATTTAGTCTCATGTATCTACTTGAGCTAAGAAGCACTCTCTTCATGGGTATCATTTTATGTCCCATAGTCCAGTCTAATCTTTGTCTGAAGAGTTGGCTTTGGGAATGGTTTCAGTTCTGGTCTAACGGAGAGTCCGGGGACCATGTCTTCCGGGCTCCCTCCAGTCTCAGTCAGACCATTAAAAGTCTGGAGTTTTTACTAGAATCAAAAATGCAACTTTTTTTTTTTAATTGTACTTTAGATGAAGGTTTACAGAACAAATAGTTTCTCATTTAATAGTTAGTACACATATTGTTTTATGACAATGGTTAACAACCCCACGACATGTCAACACTGTCCCTTCTCAACCTTGGGTTCCCTACTATCAGCTTTCCTGTCCCCTCCTGCCTTCTAGTCCTTGTCCCTGGGCTGTTGTGCACCATTAGTCTCATTTTGTTTTATGGGGCTGTCTAATCTTTGGCTGAACCTCAGGAGTGACTTCATTACTGAGCTAAAAGGGTGTCCACGGGCCATACTCTTGGGGTTTCTCCAGTCTCTGTCAGGCCTTTAAGTCTGGTCTTTTTTTGTGAGTTAGAATTTTGTTCTACATTTTTATCCAGCTCTGTCCGGGACCCTCTGCTGTGATCCCAGTCAGAGCAGTCAGTGGTGGTAGCCGGGCACCACCTAGTTGTACTGGACTCAGCCTGGTGGAGACCATGGTAGTTGTGGTCCATTAGTCCTTTGGACTAATCTTTTCCTTGTATTGTGTTTTCTGCATTCTCCCTTGCTCCCAAGTGAGACCAGTGGAGTATCTTAGATGGCTGCTCACAGCCTTTTAAGACCCCAGACCAAAAATGCAATTTTTTTAATAGTAAAATACATCTTGCTCGTCAGGATTAAAATAAAAGAATAAAGAGAGCCTTTGAAAACAGTCGTCACTGAGTCAATCCTCAGTAAGAAGCAGTGCCTTTCATTCCTCTATGCAGCAACTGGTAGGAAGACACAGTACATGCAATTCCTTGCCTGCCTGTACTGCACTGTGCTGTAGGGTTTATCATAAAGGTCTTCCATAAAAAAGACAAGAACGTCATTCCCCAGGAGTACAAGGTTATATTTCTAGGACACACAGCTGTTGCATTTTTTAAATCTTCCCTTTAGTGTCAATTATCCCCATTTCAAAAACATGGAATTGATCTAAAGATACTGGCACATCTGCAGGCTGAAAGGAGTATGGCAAAATAGAAAGGAAGCTTTTTGTTGGGATAAACCAGTTCAAATATGTAGAATGTTACAATTCATAGCTGAGGTCAAGAACCCTCCTGTACTTGGGCTGCATGCATACTAAGAGGGAGAACAAGAAGTGCTACACTGACAGTCTTCTGCAGTAACAAACTCATTTGTTTAACTACATTAAAAACTTTTTTTATTGTGGTAAAATACAAATAACAAAGCATTTGCCATTTCAACCATTTTTTACATGTATAATTCAGCAACTACACTTTTTATAGCCCAAGTACACTAGAAATGTTGTGGCTGGAGAAAAGACCCTTTTTATTTGTAACTAATCTTCTGACAGCTTTTATAGCCAGTATTCAGGAAACCGGGTTACAGGAGAATTAGACTGATGAAAACATACTTCAAAATAAACGTTGATTCTTCCTAGAAAGGTTCTGTTATCAATGGACTCCCAAGAGTTTCAAAATAGCAATATCTTCTTTGTAAAATGTTTAATGAATTGAAAAAAACACCAAAAGACACATTTCTCTATCAAAATGTCATGGATTGAATTGTGTCCCCCAAAAATATGTGTCAACTTGGTTGGGTCATGATTTCCAGTATTGTGTGGTTGTCCTCAATTTTGTGATTGTCATTTTATGTTAAAGAGGATTAGGGTGGGATTGTAACATGCTTACTAAGGTCACATCCCTGATCCAATGTAAAGGGAGTTTCCCTGGGGTGTGGCCTGCACCACCTTTTTTCTCTCAAGAGATAAAAAGGAAAGGAAAGCAAGCAGAGAGAGGGGACCTCACAACACCAAGAAAGTAGTGCCAGGAGCAGAGCGCATCCTTTGGACCGGGGGTCCCTGCGAGGAGAAGCTCCTAGACCAGGGGAGATTGATGAGAAGGCCGACAGAGGAAGCCTTCCCCTGGAGCTGATGCCCTGAATTTGGAGTTTTAGCCTACTTTACTGTGAAGAAATAAATTTCTCTTTGTTAAAGCCATCCACTTGTGGTATTTCTGTTGTAGCAGCACTAGATGACTAAGACACAAAAAAATTAAAAATATATCACCTCTTAGAAAAATAGAATACTAGTAATAATAGCTGAGTGATCAAGAATGTTATAAAGCAAAGAAAGTAAATCACTCTTTAGCTCTAGAAGTGGCTTCTCTACTTAGAGTGGGCTTGATTCATGCTGGTAAAACTAGCCAAACAAGAATGTATTAGGACATAACAATGTAGGTATAAATTTTTGTATGAGAGACTAACCTGAATTGTAAACTTTCACTTAAAGCACAACAATTTAAAAAAAAAAAAAGAGAGAATGTATTAGGTTTTTAGCTCTAGGAGTCTTGTCTCCTGGGGCAATTTACCATTTTTGAGAGTGCTCTCTCAATAAGCTTTACTCTTAAACACTGCTTATGAAGTAACAAGAGGAGGAGAAAAAGTCACAGGAGTTACTGAATCAACTGATGTATCCACAATTGCTACGAAATATAAACAAAGAAAGGAAAAATACATGGAGAAAGGTTACAGAATTTCTGAGATCCAGAATGATAAAAGAATCCTGCAAAGATGGTCAGAACTCAAACAGAACACAGTCCCAAGCAACTAAGAATTTTAATGAGTGTAAGTCCATAATTATAACTGCTTCTATTTACTGGCTAGGTATTATGTGCCAGGCATTGAGCTAAGCATTATATGTATATCATCTCATTTGATCCTTATAACTCAGCACAAACAGAGATTATTACCTCCCTGTCACAAATAAGGAAACTAAGGTTTAGGGAGGTTAGGCCACTTACCCAAGATCACATGTGACAGAGCCAAGATCTGAACCTGCTCTTTCTGACTCCAAAGACTGTATACTTAAACCCTAATGCTATGCCACTTTGTTTGTGAAAAAGGCAGAAAGTACTAGAAGAGTCTTCATGACCTTGTATTTGGCAATGGTTTCTTAGATATGACACCAAAAGCACAAACAACAAAATAAATAAATTGGACTTCATCAAAATTAAAAGCCTTTGTGCATCAAAGTACACTATCAAGAAAGTGAAAATACAACCCACAGAATCAGAGAAAACACTTGCAAATCATATATCTAATAAGGGTCTAGTGTCCAGATTATATAACGAATTCCTACAGTTCAAGAACAAAAAGACAACTTAATTTAAAAATGGGTAAAAATGATGGGAAAGGAAGAGTTATTGCTTAAGGGCACTGAGGCAAAGGCATAAAAACGTTTGGAAATGGAAAGTGGTGATGGCTGCACAACATGGTGAGTTAATGTCACTGAAGTGTACACGTAAAAAATGTTGAAATGGCAAATGTTTTGTTAAATATATTTTTACCACAATAAAAAAAATATAGGCAAAGGACTTGAGTAGATATTTCTCTAAAGAAGATAGACAAATGACCAATGAGGACATGAAAAGATGTTCAAGGTCATTAGTCACTAGGTAAATGCAAATCAAAACCACAATGAGACACCACTTCACACCCACTAGAATGGCTATAATTAAAAAAAAAAAAAAAGGAAAATAAGTGTTGGTGAGGATGTGGAGAAAATGGAACTCTCGTCATTGTTGGTTGGGTTGTAAAATGGGACAGCCACTGTGGAAAACATTTTGGTACTCCCTCAAAAATGTAAATATAGAATTACTACATGACCCAGCAATTCTACTTCTAGGTATATACCCAAGAGAATTGAAAACAGGTGTTCAGACAAAAACTTGTACACAATTGTTTACAGCAGCATTATTCATAATAGTCCAAAAATGGGAACAACCCAAATGTTTATCAACCGATGAATGGGTAAAAAAATTGTGGTATAGCCATATAATGAAATATTATTCAGTCATAAAAAGGAATGAAGTACTAATGTGTGCTACAACATAGGTGAGCCTTGAAAACCTGCTAAGTGAAATAAGTCAGACACAAAAGGCCACATATTGTATGATCCCATTTCCATGAAATGTCCAAAACAGGCAAATCCATAGAGACAGAAAGGAGATTAGTGGTTTCCAAAGGCTGGTGGAAGGGGGAAATAGAGAGTAACTGCTTAATGAGTATAGGGTTTCTCTTTGGGATGATGGAAATATTCTGGAATTAGACAGTGGTAATGGTTGCACAACACTGTGAATGTACTAAAAGCCACTAAATTGTATACTTTAAAAAGGTTAAAACGGTGACTTTTATCTCAATAAAAAAGTACTGAAAGAAAATATAAATTTATAATGTTGACATGGGACAAGTCTTTCTAAGCATAATTTCAAAGGCAGAAACCATAAAGGAAATGACTACATAAAAATTTAACAGCGTATCAAAAAAAAGCAGATCAAAAGATAAATGACACTGAGAAAAAGTATTTGCAACATATGATAGACAATCTTTTACAAAAAAATTTTTAAAGGGCTAATACACACTCTAATAAAAAATGGTTAAACTAATTAAATAGAAAGTTCACAATGGATGATATACATATAAATGGTCAATAAATATATGCTATAAATATAAATGGTCAATAAATATACTGAAAAGTTATGAGTTGGAATGGACTCTACAACAACTAACAATAACTTACATATTTTTTTAAAGGTATCTCTTAACCTTTTTTGTTTTTAGACCCCTTTGAGAACTTGATGAAAATAATAGACCATCTCTCAAAAAAATGAACATATACACATTCACACCCACAATTTTTAATATAATTTAAAGGATACATGGATGTCTCGAAGTCCATGGATATACCAAATTAGGAATCTCTGACTTACTGTCTGGATTGAAAAAGTGAAGTCATGAAATTAATTCAAATCATTTTATAGGTACAAATATGCTAGAAATAAGTTACAGATGGCCAACTGTAAAAAATAACGATTTTTTTTCTTGCTTTAGTAGATTGTGGCAAGCATGATGATTTTTTTAATTGTAGTAACATATATGTAACATAAAATTTGCTATTTCAACCAATTCAGTGGCATTAATTACATTCACAGTGTAATGGTGAGGAACCACCAGCCAGCATGACGATTTTTAAAATGGTTCTCTGAGGTATAGAATTGAAAGTCAGCAAACCTTTGATTCTAAAGCAGAACAATTTCCAGTTGATGGCAACCTCTCTCCAACTGGATTGATCAGAAAATCTTGGGCAAATCGTGAATTCTTCAAGATGGCTGCTGTTTCTTCATCTACTTCAACAAGGTCACCTTCCTGAAGGGGAGCATGAAAAACACTATAAAGAGATGGCAGTTTAGTCTCAATAGAATAAAAATGCCCATAAGTTTTACTAATCAGTGACATTTCAGAATAAAAGCCCACATTTTCTGACATGGTATACTCTCATGTTCAGACTCTACTGTTAGTTTCAAGTTTATTTCCAGTTGGAATTGACTAGTGTCATATTCACTTTTCCTTTGGTGGCAATGCTGAAAAAAGAACACTCATTGCTTCAGCAACTAGTCTCTACCCAGGAGTCCCTGGGTGGTAAGCACACGACTACCAGCCAAATGTTTGGTAGTTCGAACCTACCCAGAGGCACCTCAGAAGACAGGCCTGGGGATCTGCTTCTGAAAGTTCAAAGCCTTGAAAACCCTACGGAGAAGTTCTACTCTGCACATATGGGGTCACTCGCTATGAGTTGGAATCAACTTGACAGCAACTAAGAACAACAACTAGTCTCTGCTCAGAGGTAAGATGTGGAAAGCCACTGCTCTCTGAGCTTCACCTTATTCATCTCTAAAATGAGAGCTCTGGACTAGAACCAGTAGTTTTCAAAGTATATTCTTTTCAGTTGGAGGGTGTCTCGGAGGCGTATAAAGGGAAACAGGAGATGAGCATCAGAGATTCTGGGCTGCCCAGCCCCTGCTTCCATCAGATTAATTTTGCTTTTATCCCTTCATCTACTGGGATTATATAAAGCAATAGTTAAGTATTGAATAAATACCATACATTATGATAACATGGGTGTTTTTTTTTTCCCCAACAGTTTCTACATGTACAATTTAGTGACATTGATTACATTCTTCAAGTTGTGCAACCATTCTCACCCTCCTTTCTGAGTTGTTCCTCCCTCATTAACACAAACTCACTGCCCCCTAAGGTTCCTATCTAATCTTTCAAGTTGCTGTTGTCAGTATGATCCCATATAGATAGTTCTTAAAAGAGCGTAATGCTCAAGGCAGACCTTTTTTACTAGTTAGGCTAAACTATTTTTTGGTTTTAAGATGACTTCAGGTGATATTTTTAGTTTAAGGTTTAAAGATTATCTCAGGGCAATAGTTTCAGGGGTTCATCAACCCTCCACGGCTCCAGAAAGTCTAGAGTCCATGAGAATGTAAAATTCTGTTCTGCATTTTCCCCCTTTTGGATCAGGATTCTTCTATGAAATCTTTGACCAAAATGTTCAGTAATGGTATCCAGGCACCATCCAGTTCTTCTGGTCTCATGGCAAAGGAAGCAGTTGTTCATGGTGGCAATTAGCCACACATTCCATATCCTCCTCCTATTCTTGACTCTCCTTCCTCTCTTGCTCCAGTGATATACTGAAGGAAATATATATATTGGTAAAACAAATATAACAAAATGTTCACAAATGCTGAACTATGTAATGGGTATATGGGTGTTCATTATACATTTTGTTTACCTTTTCTGTGTTTAAAAACATTTTTATAATAAATATTAGGAAAAAAAATGCCTTTCCATTCCACTTCAAAAACGTACACATGAACAAACTAACCAATACCTGAGAAGTGAGAAGCAATGCAAGGTCAAAAAAAGGTACCTAGGACAAGGGTAAGAGTATGAAGCATTAGAACTCAAAGAAATTCTTATTTACCTTAAATGTGAAATTTGCATCAAATATTAGTTCTTTTTCATGTCCTGTGATTCCTCCATTGTAAATAACCTGGCATCTTTTGGCTGGTCCTGTCTTAGGGAGTTTGAAGAGGCGAAATGTTGCAGAAACAAAACGACAGTCACCTATAAACAAAATTTACTCATGGTTCATCTCCAGCACTCGAACAGTTGTTATTGGAGGGTCCCATACATGCTCAGCAGATGAGGAGCGAACATAACAATGATTTTCATACTTGCATGCCATCAAATGTCTTTCTGGGCACTTCACTCTATTTACTGAGTGACTTCAAAGTGCCTTATTAAATACCAAACTTTAGGGAGGCTGTCATTTTACAGGAGACAAGATGGAGATTTCCAGAAGACACAAAGTCTCCCTCAATGAGACTCACTCAGTACACACTTACTAATCACCGAATTTGAACCACTCAGGTTGTAGTTATCATAGTCCCTGCTATTGTTTCTTACCAACAACTCTTTCTAGTTCCTTGTTTTGAATCGTAATCAGGTTGGCAGTGACCAAGCGTGGAGGGCAGAACCCAATTTTTTGGGCAAGGATGGCAAGGTCCTTCCAGTACAAAGCGCCACCGAGGCACTCACCTAAAAAAAAAAAAAAATCACAGAACAATCAACCAAGACAAGTAGGTATTAAGGGAATTACTCTTCTATATAACTGATTAGGCCATGGCATTAGTTAAAACACGTTGGTAGCTGCCATCAAGTCAGAACAAAACACTGCCCGGTCCTGCATCATCCCCATGATGGGTTGAGGATTAGATGGTTGTGATTACAGGTCACTGGCTGATTTTTAGAAAGAAAGATAACCAGATCCTTCTTCCTAGTTAGTTTTTGTCTGGAGGCTCTGCTAAAACCTGTTCAACATCATAGCACACACAAGCCTCCACTGACGGATGGCCAGTGACTGCACCTGCGGTGTACTGGCTGGAAGAGAACAGCATGGAAGTCAAGAATTTTACCACTGAACCACCAATGCCCTCGATTACAACATAGGTCCTAATAGAAGCTAACCTGGTCATCCTTCCCAAGGTCTAGTAAGTGATGGTTAAAACTGCATTTGCTAGCTAATGTCTCTGGGAACCACTCTTCAGGACAGTCACTAACGTATTGGTTCCACCCAGCTGTTACAATAAAAGTTTTTTTCTTTGAGCTATGTGAATAAAAAAGTATAAAAGACGAATTACAAAATTGCTTCTTAGCTCCAGATTACTCTCACAATGATCTGCTACAACAGTAATAACTACTAGTGTTTATAAGACTTTTTAACTGTTCTTTCTTTTTTTCGTAATACAAAGATGGTCATACTTATATTTATTACATCAACAAATTGGAAAGAACCTAATGATCACCAAGAGAAGAATGGTAAATACAGCATAGTACAGCTGTATAATGCAAACATTAAAAAATGTTTTTTAAAAATTTAGGCTTAGGAAATATGCTAAATAAACAAAATTAGAATACAAAACTCTATATACAGCATGCTCCCAATTGTATTATATATGTACACAGGAAAAAAAAGACTAGAAAGGTATATACTAATATGTTAAAGAGGTTATCCCTAGATTATGACTACAAGTATTTTTTTCTTTTTTTTCTTTTCCGAGTTTTTAACAATATCCATTTATTATTGTATAAGAACATAGTTAACATAATTTATTTTAAAAGTCAAAACTTCTCATTTCAAAGACTGACTACACACATGCATTTACCTCCTCAACCTTCAGAGACTTCATTAAAATGACAGTAAAGGAATAAACAACACAATAATGATGAGAATATAAGGAAATTAAAAGGGCATCAGCTCTGGAGCAGTTGCCCTCATTTGCACACTATGGTTTTCAAAGAGTTTCTCATATTCATTATTCCATTTAATTTTCATAACAGCTCTATAAGGTGGGTTGTATTATCTACATTTTACACTTTGGAAAACAATGACAAAAAGATTAATTAAATTGTCCAAGATCATACCACTCTTGAGTGGCAGACTAGGAAGGGAATCTAAACCACTTGACTTAATCCCATGCATTCCCCTGCCACTTAACCTCATCCTGGCTATTAGTAGAATGGAGCTCTGTACATGAAAGAGTATCTGCCTTAAAAAACAAAAAAAAACAAAATCTTACCCCATAAAACTTTGTGTTTCCTAATTTCTTCTGGCAGTTCAAGGTTAGCATAGACGTCACTGAAATATAGCTCCCCACCATACTGAAACAAAACAATGTTAGTCCAAACAAAGTTAAAGATTACATTAGTCCCGGAGAGCAAAGAAAGGAATGCAGAAATAAAATCAATGGAAAAAAAAAAAGAAAGTGCTTAAGCTGACTCTTTATGAGCAAATAACAGTTCGCTACCTCCAACACTTGCCGTCTATTTACAATCAATAGGCAGGTGGCAAGATTTTTTTTTTTTCCAGTTCCCTACCAATGGGGAATAAAATGGCTTTCCAAGAGCATCTCTCTTCTAAGTAAAGATATTCAGGTTACCTAAATTGTTAGCCTATCTGAACCAAATGCAGCCCTAGGTGATTGTATAACTAACAGAAGATATAAACAGTATTCATAAATTCTTATCCCTTAAAAATTATCTGAAGATAATGGAATTATGGGTAATTCTTCCCCTATATACCACACTTTTTTCCCCAAACTTTTTTGTAATCTTGTATCTTCTGTCATGAAGATACACATTCATGATACACATGAAAGATGTGGAGCTTCTGAAAGTTTTCTTTTTAGAAAGTAGCTAAAGTTCCATCTTCTTTAACTTTCTGAAGATCTGGAATCCTAACACATAAGAAATAAGTAGCCCTGAGAAACACTGTATGTGCTAGAAAAGAGTGTACTTGAAGCAACCCTTAGCAGCAAGTTCAAAGTCTTCGCACCTCTGCACAAGCCAGTCTAGGATCACGTGTAGCAACATCAGGAGGAAGACAGCCAAAAAGCAAATATTTTAACATGTTCAATAACAATCGTTAACTCTCAGATTTATTATCTTTTGCAACCTGAGAGAGAAAAGAATCGCATCTAGAGTACTCCTGTCACGCACAAACACACCCTTTTTGCTACCCCTTTTTAATTTAGTGGATAAATTAAAAGAGTTTGAGCGCTCAGCTCAAGGAGGCAAGACCAGTACAGATCCCATCAGCCTTAAATAATGTTCAACAATATTTAAAGATCACTTGTCTTGCTCTTCCCTCACCTTTAGCACTCGATATACCTCCTGCAGCACTTGTTGTTTATCAGGAACAAGGTTAATAACACAATTTGATCTGAAAAGAACAGATGGAATGTCAAACAAATCTGTAGACTACTCCAGTAATTGTCAATTCCGACAGCAACCACATGTGTGTCAGAGTAGAACATGCTCCATAGTATTTTCAATGACTGATTTTTCAGAAGTGGATCACTTTCTTCCAGATAACCTCTGGGTAGACTCTAACCTCCAACTTCTGGTTAGCAGCTAAGCTAGTTAACCATTTCACCATCCAGGGACTCCGAACACTACTTGAGATCTTCAAATCCTTTTAGTCCCTGAGGATGGCTCCCACCATTTTCTCAAAATCACACCACCCTTCTTGCCTCCCTCCTTTCTTTCCCTACACTCACTTTTCCCAAGATAAGGGAGATGGGAAGAGTGTTTAAAATCTCAACAAATTTTTAGCAAGTTTGAGGGTATAGGGAAAAAAAAAAATAGGCATGGTTCTTGTTTGTTTCTGCCCTGTTATTCACCATGCAACAAGATGCAACCTGGAACCAGATGCCTCTTGCACAAAGTATTTCTTATGCCACATGTAAATAGGCTAAGTGCCTGAGAGGTTGTTTTACTAAGGCTGTGACTTGGGCATGATTTGACAACAACTCAGAGGAAAAAGAGAAACAAAGAATCCTAGAATTTGCCATGAAAATAATACTAAAGATAATAGGTCAGTGTGCATCGTACAAGCAGACCCGGAGGTCTTTCGGGATTAATGGTAGTTACATTTAAGATCTCTCTTGGGTTAGTAGGTTCTGCTGCTAATGGGCTACAAGTGGCTCAGACCATATCTTTCCCTTTGCCAAGACATGCTAAGTGTAGTTTTAACACCATAAGTGAGAGTTAATTCAGCAAAAAGTGGTGACATCTGTGTGTTCAATACAAAATGGGCTATGTTCATAAAAGTAAGGAAATAGACCTACATAACAATATCGTAACTCTCATTCTTGATTCCAGCCTCTCCCAGCTTCTCTATGTAGCCATGAATGAAAGTCACATTGGATGCCTGGAAGCCATACTTTTCCATGTGATATTCGATGTAATTTTTGGCCACTTCTACCTAAAGAAAGAAAAATATAGATTTTGATAGTATTTTTTAATCTATTATTTTTCTCCTAAAATTTTCCTATTACTAATGGAATATACTTCCCCCCGACTATTTTGGATAAGTATACAGGGTTCCTCTGAACATGCAGTATATACTACAGCCTAGTACAACTCAATGGGGTATAACTCCTGTGTGAAAGCTCTAAAATTGAGGCCTTAACTCTATCAAAGCAACTGGCCTAGGTCTAAGCCCCAACTCCATTTTAGCCTTTGCCTACTGCTCAGCATCTGTTAACCTTGAGCAGACTTAATCTTGCAATTTAGAAAATGTTTTTTTCTTTGACGTTAAGCTAAGGATATGGAAACGATGTCTCTAAAGGAGGGTCTTGAGGAAAGCCCCTTATCAGAAATCTCCTACACAAGCAACTCCCCATGAATGTTTGCTAGGGATGCCATCTTGGCAAAATGTTCTCAGAAAGGAATGTTAACCATCCTGTAAACTCCCGCTTTAGTCACAAACTTCCGCAATTACCTAAGGTAACCAATCCAAGAAGCCTACATATACACTTTGAACCAATGCCTATCAATTCCCCACTTGGAGTTATCCCACCTCCTGCCTCCTGAGCACCAATCAGAAATTTTGCATTGTTAATTCCTGATTTAAGCATATAAATATGTCTTTGTAACCTCACCACCTCCGAGCGTTCTAGTTTCACTTTGTGAGCTGAACGTTTTCCCTAGCTCGAACTGTACTGAACCTTCAATAAATCTCTTTGCTTTCATTTTAACCATTTTGACTCTTGGACATTCCCTTCTTGGTACAGAGGATTTGCTTGAACAAACTCCTAATTCAATAACAAATTATTTTAGGATAGATGGCAGAAGGAAGGAAAAGATCAAAATCCACTAAGTATCAGGATACTCATACGCCAAATCAAACCTCTAACTTTGTGTTCTCCAGGAAGAACCCCCTAATCATCAAAGTTCTCAGCTTTCAGGACAGAAGCACTAATGACACAAATGAACACTACTAAATAGAAGCCTTCTTAAATTATACTTGAAGACTCACAAAGGAAACAACTTTATTTCTGAAAGAATGCATTTGAGGATCTTTTTTCTCCTTGTCCTCAAAATTATTGCCTCACCTGACTCTCTGTCATGTCTATTCCAGTGACATGTCCCTTCTCACCAACCAGCTGACTGAGTGCATAGCAATCTCTACCACTTCCACTACCCAAGTCCAAAATCCAGCAGTTTTCCAGACACTCAGGGATGACCAGACCACAGCCATAATACCTGGGAAATGGGG